CACTACGGCCCGGCCTGCCTCAGCCCCTGCAGAAAGCTCCCGGTGCTGCACATCTTCGGACAGCAGCCCCTGGACATCAGGCGTTGTGCAGAGGCCTTCCGGGAGCTCTACCCCAACCGACAGGGCCATGTGGTGGTGCTGAGTGATGTGGTCTATGCCCATGCGATGGGTGAGTGCGCTGGGGCAGGGAAGGAGTCTCTGATGCTGCTCTGAACTCTGCAGAGCTGCGAGGGGGAGAGCAGGCAGGCAGTCCTCAAACACTGTCAGCCTTGATTTCTGTCCTCTCATGTAATCTGCTATCCAACCTTCTGCAGGTCAGGTTTGTGGCCATGTTTAGTTCTCATTTCTCTCTTCTTTCAGGTGAGCTGGAGCAGCAGTTGTGTCCTGAGTACCCCAATATCGTCTTCTCCAAGGTGGTGTGCGGGGACCCTCCCGGCCCTGCACCACCTGGGGAGGAGCGGCACTTTGGTCGCCAGTTCCTGGTGAAGGCGCCAGGAGGACTGCAGGACTGTGCCATGTTCTATGTGGGAACTGAGGGCCTGGCCCTCACCAGCTTCATGCTGACCTGGAACCGCTGCTCCTTCAGCTCTTTTGACCCCACCACTGGCTGTGGCCGCCACGAGAACCTCAATGTCAACCGCGCCCTGATGCGACGCCTTTACCTGGTGGAGCGGGCCCGGGATGCCCATGTGGTGGGCATCCTGGTGGGCACCCTCGGTGTGGCAGGCTACCTGGCTGTGCTGCAGCACCTCCGGGAGCTTCTGTGCCGGGCTGGCAAGCGCAGCTACACACTGGCCGTGGGGAAGCCAAACCCTGCCAAGCTGGCCAACTTCCTGGAGGTGGACATCTTTGTCCTGGTGGCCTGTGCTCAGAACTCCCTGCTGGACTCCAGTGACTTCTACCGACCCGTTGTGACCCCCTATGAGCTGGAGCTGGCCTGTAATCCAGCACGCGAATGGACGGGGAACTACCTCACTGACTTCCGAGACCTGCTGCCAGGTAATAGCAAGAAACCAGCTGCCCAACACCCTCCTAGGGTGCATCTTGCCCTGCTCCCCTGCCTGGAGGCCACAGTTGCCCCAGCTCTGCACTGGCTCGAGGATAGATGTGAGCACCAGGCTAATGGTACCGTTTCCTGGCAGGTGCCTGCGCGCACGTTGAGCTCCCACCGGCCATCCCTGCAGCGGAGGCTGTTCCTGACATCTCGCTGATCACGGGGGAAATGCGCGCCACCCACCTCTGCGACCCCCTGGCCTCCCAGCTGGCCCCCAGCACCACCCTGGCCTGCAGGGACCAGACACGGGCCCTTGCGGAGATCAGCCCTGCTGGTTTGTGATTTGTTTTCTCGGTGGGGCTGAGCTCCGCTGCAGGGGCAGTGCTGCCTCCCCGCTCCCAGTAACAATTCCCTCTCTCTCTTCTCCCAGCCTCCTTCCTGGACTCCCGCAGCTGGCGGGGCCTGGAGCAGCAGCTGGGGCAGACGCCCATCTCAAAGGCTGTGCAGGGCCGACGAGGGATTGCCATTGCCTATGAGGACGAGGTGCGTGAGCAACCCTGATTTGGCAGCAGCATCGGCACCCAGCCAGGAGCAGGGCTACGTGGGGGCCCAGGCATTACCTGTCACTGGGTTTTGGACCCATGAGGGTCTCACAAGGGTCCGGATGTGCCACCAGCTGGCCCCACATTGGATGTGGCCTTGGGTTGGCAGTACTGTGGTGGGAAACCAGGAGTTGCATGTGTGTTCAGGCATGCCCCTGGCACCCCAGGGCTCACGGCCAGGGCAGCAGCAGGGTCAGGAGAGGCGCTTGACCAGATCTGGCCTCTGAGGGCTCCCCAGTCCAGGGCAGCTTTGGCCCTACATGGAAAGGTCACAGCTTTGCACAAGCCGACAGCAGCAGGACTTGAGGCTTTTGTGGGCTACTGCTGCTAACTAAACCTGAACTGAAAAGGACTTGTGAGTGAACTGTCTTCTAGAATAAAACATGAGCTGAGAAGCGCAGACAGAGGTGATACTGGTTGGGTGTTCCAGAGTTAAAATATAGATCGTGGCGTCCACTCGAGGAGCACAGGCCTGTGCATCAGCTAAAACCAGCCTGAGAGAACAGAAAACCAGAACTGGGACCCCCCAGAAATGAACGCATGTTCGCAGGCTGGGCTGGGGAACTAAGGCGAAGGGGAGAGGGCTCTGAGTGTGAGCAAGCCCCTCACCTGCTCTGATGAACAGGTCTGGGGCGCACGCATCTTGTGCTGCAGGGAGGATTCCACTTTCAGTGGGGATGGAGTCTGGCTCCTCTTGTGTGGGGCAGGACCGTTTCTGCTCCATGCCAGGCAGGAGAGCATGGCGAGCAAGGGGGACTGGTGTTTGCCATCCCTCCTGCAGCCAGGAGGGATAGGAGGCTTTGAGGTGTCCCAACCTTGATTTAACCCCCTCTGCTGGGCTCTTCCCCAGAGGCAAGGGGCAGGCAAAGTCCAGGCAGCGCAATAATGACAGCCACAACATAGAAATATTCTTAATATAATTAGGTGCAGGGCCTCCCCCCTCCCAACCACACGCGTACAAACGAGCAGGGGGTGAGCCCCCCTGCTCAGCCAGCCACTGCCACGGGCACAGGGGCAGCCTCCCCACCGTGGGGCACGGGCACCCACAGGGAAGTGCCAGGGAAGGGCTGGTAGCCCAGGTGCGGGGCAGCCCGTGCTGGGGCAGTCCT